TATGCTTTATAGTACAGTGGTTATAATCAAATTTTCACAATATCCATAAATCAGAATACTGACATCACTACATTTACCATGAGCTAACAGACATCCACTGATAAATCTTAGTGTCAGTGTAAAAAGATGCCTTCTTTGAACTGAAGTACATAAGGCTTTACTGGTTACAAGTTCTTATCAAAGATTTCGTTCCTTCCCATCAAGGCATCTTTTTCTTTTCCTCATTTTACTTTTTTTCTTGGTCTTTTTCTGCATCCAGAAGTGCTGAGCGGATTCCTAACTTCTTTAGCTCTTCTACAAGATCTCCATTCTGATGCATCTGGAGGAGGATATCACAGCCACCAACGAATTCACCATTGAGGTATACTTGTGGGATGGTAGGCCAGTTGGAGTAGTTTTTTATTCCTACAAAAAGGAAAACAAAATTGTTACATGTTTTCCCCAACTCTACAAATAGAATAGGACTTTAAATACATACAATTGCTTCAATCAGTCAACTGATATTTTCATTTCTTCCCCATTGAGGTAATAATTTTTCTATCTAACAGGAACACTGAAAGAAAAACTATGTCAGTAGGTTTGGCTCTCGCTCCAACTCTGGATGTGGTTTGAAAGATATGCAGTCAGCTCAGCTGCTGCAACAACTTCACATGTGCTGGAAAAAATGCAGCTTGCCTTTCCCTGTCCTGGAAACAAATATGTTAAGAAATGGGAAATCTTGAAAACCACCGAGAACAGTTTGGATCCCACTGCCATTTATATTTCCCTAAGGGACTTTAAAATACATTATAGCTGTGTGAATTCAGTAAAAGACATACTACTGGAATTTCAATTACAACATACATTTGCCCCTTTAAGTGCCTTATGAATTTCAAATTGTTTTATCTTTCACTGCCAGACCTTACAGCTCAAGGGAGGGGCACAAAGACTGAAGTCTCTTAGAGGAGCTGACTGCATCAAATGAAGCTAGAGTCACAATTATGAAGTACGGCATTAAATTAAAAATTATACTTCATAAAAAAATAAACAAAGCCATCCAAAAATACTGACTGACCAAATGGCATAAATTGCATCCCAAAATGCATTTAGAGACACCAGGAAAAATACCATACAGAAAAATCAGTGAATCTAATTTGCCAAATGACTTTCCACACAAAACCATCAATTCAGAAATCAAATACCAGTGTTTAAAATAAAATCTACTACGATAACTGTGATCTAAAAAAAACCTTTTGTACTACACACTATAGTATATATACTATACTATAACTATAAAGTGCAACATCAGCTCCTATCTTCAGCATCACCGCTTGCAATTTCTTCCTTAGCATTTCATTAAACCCTTTCTTGGCTGTTTAGAGGAAGTTTGCTGAAATTTTAAGCTTTGATGTGAACTTGTGATGTAAACAGTGTTTAAGAAGCAAATCTTTTTATACTAAAATCCTTTTAACTCACAACAACTGCAATGAAGAATTGAGTCCATACACAAAGGCAAATTTAAGGATATCCCTTCTCAAAGAAGTCAGATATGAAATAAGGGTGGTTTTTGTTAAGAAACTGTAATGCTAAACGAAGGGCACCACATATTAATTTAATGCCAGCAAGCACTGCAAACCAATTTTTCTTCCACAGAAATATTTTCTACTAAGACCCAACAGCATATGCAGACAAGCACTGATAGGTCTTTTAAAGATCTATTCAACTTTAGATGACAATATGAACATCACATGCCACACCCTATGCATTGGGCAATGTTACAAACAGATTACAAACAAAACACTTCCTCAACCTGTTCAGCAGTCCCTAGTTTAATATGGCATTTACCAACACTACTTTAGCAGCACTGAAGCAAGCCAGCCTAGTCTATACTTGCTGAACTGAGGATGCACTTGTGCTATTAATCTTTCAGCAGTACGGACAGACACTGCAGGGAGCTTCTTCCCACTCCCTGCAGGTAAGTACTTCCTCCTGTGCTTCAGAAGCTGTACCTTTGAAACACTGTCTTGTAAAACCACGCTCCACAGATCAGGTTTAAAGCTTGACAGTTGAACTAGTACACTGCAGTGACTGCAAAACCATCATCTGTGCAAACTGCTACTAAAAGGGGTGCCCAGAGAACTCCCACCACCAAATCTCAGCCTCCCTTTAATCAGCATTAGCACTAACAAATGCTGAAGCATATCAAAGAACTGAGTCAAGCAACCACTCTCACCACATTCTCCAGAAAAGCATCACCTTTCCACAAAGATCATTAGTACTGGTAGAAGAACTAGCCCAAAGGTAGGAAGAAATATCAAGATCTGTGACAGCATCCAGTACTTAAATAATGTAAAGAAACAATGGAAACAATCTGAGGGTGAATTGCAGCATTTCAAACCACTATTTCTCCAGTACACAACCCCAAGCTTCTGTCACCACACTGACCTGAACTAGCCTCACAGTATTTGATCTGCCAAATTAGAATCACCTGTGGCAAAGTCAACTTGAAGAAACGTAAATTGTTATGGAACCTCAGCCTAAGAGAGAGCACGGAGTTCTCTTTCAAAATGAAGGATTTGTGTCAGGGAAACACATTCCTCAGCTCAAGTTCACATAAATCATTCAACATAAGTACTAGTAAATAGTTTTGTAGACCTGAGAGTGCTTTCAGATGATAAGCAGAGGTGGGGAGATGTTTTTACAGCCTGCCTTATTTCAGCAAAGGTAAAGCTTCAGTACATCAGTTATAGTACAGATGAAAAATAACAACCTCAAAATGTGGTGTAGGTACAGGGAAGAAACTAGTCAAATGTGCCTGAAGTATCACCTCTGCTAAAAGCAAACTCTTATTACAAGTGCTATAAGCATACAAATATGCAAATACTTACATTCCTCACTGGCACCCAGTTTATATGTCAATGCTTAAGCTGAGCAGAAGTGTTAGTTAGATATTTGATAAAAATTTAACATCTTTTCACTATCCCCATACATACATATCAGTAAAGAACACGTTCGTGAAGAGGGTTTAGGAAAGTGCCATGTTTAGGGTATCTGACTTTTCAGCACCTGAGACCAAAAGGGACAAAGAGCTTCAGTCACTGGTGAATCCTATTTGGCAAGCTACAGAGCTACAGCTTCCAGCATCTCTCCCCTCTGCTACAAGCTGCCATTCACTAAAGTGAACATACAGTGGCTTTTCAGGATAAAAGAGGTAGTACAGGAAGCAATTGGCCTCAAAAGTAAGGGTGTCCTCAGGTAACTCTGCACTTCAAGGCTCCACCTCTGGCACTGGCTCATCCCACAGTGCAATAAGCCAGGCCAGCCTGCAAACTCAACAGTGCTGGTATTACAGCAAGCTGGTTGTCCACACAGCCTGATACCAAATCACTTGAGGTCACTTGATGCATAACAGAATGCAAATTTAAATCACAATTTGGTGTAGTTTGGACTAGAAGAATTAACAATACGCACCTGCAATACTAGCCACATAAAACCTCAAGTCAACCTCATATATCAGAGGGAAAGGGGAAAAATGGAAGCGTCATAAGAACTGAGTATAGTCTACAAGTAAAACAAACAACCACAACACATATAGAATAGCTCCTACCGTTTGCACAGTAATGCAAATATTTCTTGTGCAAACAATTATCATAACAAAACAGCATCCTACTTCATCAAAAACAGCGAAGAACCCCAGCTGGCAGAGAACAAAGTGGTCCAAGTCCAAACCATTCATGAGGTTTCACAACACTGTTCACAGTGAAAAGAACGCATCTGATAACTGTAGAATGGTTTGGCTTGGGAGGGACCATAAGCTCGCTCAGTTCCCTGCCTGCCATGGTTACAGTCACCCCTCACCTGCTCAGGCTGCCCAGGGCCCCATCAAATTTGGCTTTGGAACACCACCAGAGATGGTGCATCCACAGCTCTCTAGGCAGCAGTGCCAGTGCCTAACAACCTCCTGAGCAAAGATTTTTCTCCTAACACCAAACCCGCATCACCCCTCTTTTATCTTGAAGCAATTCCCCTTGTTCTATCATTATTAGACCATGTAAAAACTCTCTCTCCCTCCTGTTTATAAGCTCCCCTCGAGTACTGGAAGGCTGCAATGAGGTCTCCCCGGAGCCTTCTATTCTCCAAGCTGAACAGCCCCAGTTCCCTCAACCTTTCTTTGAAGTGCTCCAGACCTCCGTGCCTATGAACCAGGGAAAGCGACGTGGCACGGAACCCCGACCCGCAGGCTCCGTCCCGTGAGCTCGTCTTTGCGATGCACAGCCCCAGGCTCTGGGTACAAGCCGCTTACAAGCCAAAGCAAAACAAACAACACCCAGCACGGAGCAGCGAGCCCCATCGTGCCGGCGGTGCGCAGCCCGGAGGTGGCGCCTGGAGGTGACCCCGGCCCGCTGACCTTGCCGGAGGTCGGGGTCCTGCAGCACGTCGTGGGCACGGTAGTCCTCCACGCCATGCAGCCGCAGGATCTGCACGACGGCGTTGCTGAAGCCGCAGAGGGGCTGCGCCGGGCTGCCCTTCATAAACACCACCACCGGGTGCTCCCGCACCAGTCGTTCCACTGCTTCCCGCGACCCCGAGCCGCCGCCGCCATCGGCCCCACCGCTGCCTCCAGCCGCCTCGCTCAGGTGTCGCCGCCCGGGTCGGCCCCGCGCTGCCCAGGCACCCAGGCGCAGGGCCGCACGCAAAGACCCGCTCATCCTGCCCCGGCCACCCAACTGCGTCCACTGCCGGTCCCCACCCCGCACCGCCAGACCCGAGCCTGCACTACAATCCTATTGGCCGAGGGCGCGAAAGGTCGCGAGGAACTTCTCCTTTGCATAGGTGCAACGAGACGCCGATCAACACCGACAGCCAATTGCATGAAAGTACTGTGAGATTTGTCCCTCCCATCAGCACTCTCTTTCCTATTTGCGGAGGGAACGGCGTTATTGCAGCGATATTGGAAGAAGCACCTGTCAATCCAGGCAGATCGTATGGGGGGCGGGGGGGTGCTGCCTCCCCGCCCTCTCCCTAGCCGCTACCGGTCAGGCTTTTTCCCGGTGCGCTGCTTTATCCCGGGAAGCCGTGTGGGCGCGTCATCAACTCGTGCCTCCTTTCTTCCGCTTCCGGGTGGTGGCCGCCTTCCTTTATTTTACAGCGCGAAGGGGAGGCAGGGTAGGGGCTTGTTGAGCTCAGTGCCGTAACGTGGTTGGGAGCGGCTTTGTTCGCCGAGAGGGCAGTCCTGCGGCGGTTCTGCCGAAGCATAAAAGCGGAGCCCGGGAGTACAAGATGGAGGGGTGGGCGCAGAGGCTCTTTAGGGGCTGCCCCGTGCGCGCAGCCCGCCCCGCTGGAGCTCCTCGGCAGCCCCCGGGCTCCTGCCGAGCGCTGAGCGGAGCGCGGAAGCTGGCAGCAGCGAGGGACGTGCGGTAAGAGGAAGCGTTTGCGGGGCTAAAGAACAAAAGCAGTGCGTCCCGCAAGTAACAAATCTGAGCGTGTTCCCTGCTTTGTGGGGATGGCGTCTGAACGTTTGGTAGTAGTAACGGCCATCTGTGTTACTTTCGGAAACCAACCCATCTTGTGACCAAGACATAGAAGAGTTCTTGTTTTCTGTGATTTATGTGTTATGATTAATGAGCAAGGTTGTTCACTGCATGTGCAACAATTCATAGTGGATAAAGCTTATTTAATCTTTGCAAAATGTATGTCTTTTATATTTTTGTTTCTTTGTCAAACTGATGTGTTATGAAGAAGCTCCCTGAGTCTTATGTAGAAGAGGCTAAGTGGCCCAGTTTGGCACTTCTGATCTACCAGAAAGATGCCTGTTGCTTTAATGTTCTGGAGATTCAGGAAGGGAATTAAGTGAAATTTAATTAAAAAGGCAAAGATGTTACCATGCTGAACTAGAATTCTCAATTAAAAATTGATACACATTAGGTTGTGATGGAAACTTGATTGTATTTGGAATCCCATGTCTAATTCCAGCTATTTCCGCAAGGATATGGTTAATAAGAAAAGAGAAGCGAAATGGAGACATCACATTGAAGGGTCATAAATCCTTGTGGGGGTAAGCTCCTTCAGGAACAGCATAACCTCAGCTGCAGTGGAATTCTCTGTAGTCAAAGAGATGCCCTTGGTTGGTGGTACTCTGGGCATACCAGGCTTACAGAGAGAGCAGCAGTGCGAGGAAGCCGAGGCATGCCTGTTAGAGCAGCAGCAGCAACATGCGCAATGTTCCTCTAACAGTAACAATCCTGTTGCCACGGAGATAATGACTTATCCCATGTCATTATTGATCTATCAACAGTAAGAGCAATTTTGCAGTCTGATATTGTTTAGCAAATAGAGTAATGTCTGCTGAACACTTAAAAACTGCTATAAATGTTGGAAAGCTTCTTCGAAGCCTGAGTAATGGGTTAAAAGGAAGTACCTGAATTCAGTTATTTGTTGCAGTGTTGTGAGATTGGCTTTGTGAGGTAATTCTAAGCTTGGCAGAAAGCATTTTAAAGGAAATGATTAGTTTGGTCAAATTTTTTTTGTATTTTAAAGTATGCAGTACTCTTTTAGTAGATGAATTCTTTTCACTGCTGGTAAGATTTAAAACAGCTAGCCCACTACAATTTTTTTATAGCAACACAATTAAAAATATTTGCAGTCTTGTCCAGTGTACTTTTAGACTAAGCTGAAACTACTTGTATTTTATTTTTCAGACAATGATTTAAATCGCCTGTTCACGAGAAGTATTAATGGAACTCCCATGGGATTTCTGATGTTTTGCTCTTCTTCCTGTTAGAAGAACTGTTATCAGTTCAATTTTGAAAACAGTAACAAAAGCACATTCAAACTGTGGAGTTTAAACTCAATCATTTCCAGACCTTCTGCAGCTGAGCAAAATTAGTGGTTATGAATTGATGGTTTGAGTTTCTTATACGTACACAAGAACAAAGGTGTCTAAGAATGATACTGTCACAGAGGCTTTTCCCTTTGGAGGAAAAAAAAAAAAAAAAAAAAATGTGGGTGTGTGTGGCAGGGGTGAAGGGAAGGCAGCTGGTTGAAAAGATCAGAAGAAAAGGCTTGTTTCAGCTTATCAGGGCAGGACTCCTCTTTGTGTCCGAGTCAGATATGTCTTCCTTACTTGTTGCAGAGCCTGAAAATGAAACGTTATTATATGCAATAACAGTTGAGCTCTACTTAAGTGTTTTATTGTCTCTTGAAGCTTTTTTGAAGCTCCTGTTCAGCGTGCCAGGTGAATAATATGAGGTGTATCATCAGGGCAACACCTGGCAACATCAACTTGTCCTTTGAGACCAGTTAGAATGCTCAGTGTACCTACAGTTCTGGACTGCACAGCTAAAATCTGTGTGGCATACATACATTTTGAATGCTGAAGAAGAAGCTGTGAAACTTTTATAGTAATTTTACCTAACTGGTGATCTGAGCCAGTTGTTGGATTTGGATCCTTTAACGGGGGGAAGTCATGCTAATGATAAAAGTAGAAGTGTTTTGAGTCCTGTACTGAGGGAATAGAATGTAAAATGTTCAACCTAGAGAGCAGACCTTTAAATTAGACACTTTTTAGATGTCAAAGTAATTAATACAATAGTACAAATTAGTACCAAGTAATTAGTCCCAGTATGATGAGTGTACTAAGTCTGCTTTGGGAATTGTGAAGCTGTCCTGTGACAAGAACCATGCGGCGTGAACTTCGGAATAGAGTAAAATTGCTGTTCAGTGTAAGCAAGCTTCTTGCAACTTTGTTTCCTGAGCAGAGACTTTTAGACCTTTGTTACTTATTTGCAGGTGATAGCAATCCTTGAGTCTTTCGCTATTACAAAGGAAGTATAACTTTATATATGTTAGTTTTCATACTAAGTTGAGAAGTGTTACCTCTGAGTATGCTTTGTGCATCTCTTGGCCTCTTTTTGACTTGGAGTTAAGAACGGCAGAATTTTTCACCGGTCTAAAAAAAAAAAAAAAAAAAAAATTGCACAAAGCTGAGAAAGTAAAATTTATCTGCTAAACACAAGTATACTATTATTGGGTCAAGTACTGAACAAACAAAAGCTAAAGATGGTTTGTTTGAAAACTGTTCAGTTGCAGCAAGGCAAGAAAAGCTTGTATTTAGTGTCCACAAGAGGGCTCTGACAGCTCAGAGGTGCCTGCTGAGGGTCACTGGCTGAGTCACTTCACTAAAATGGCAGGCTGCAGTAACTGAACTCTTGCTGTCATCGAGGATGGTTAGATCTTTTGAATTCCCTTATCTTATAGTGCAACAATCGCTTGAGATAATAATTGCGATTACCAGGAAAATCCTCCATAAGTAATCATAGAATCATAGAATGGCCTGGGTTGAAAAGAACCTCAAAAATCATCTAGTTTCAGCCCCCCCCCCCCAAACTATATGCAGGCTTGCCAACCACCAGACCAGGCTGCCCAGATCCACATCCAGCCTGGCTTTGAACACCTCCAGGGATGGGGCATCCACAACCTCCTTGGACAACCTGTTCCAGTGTGTCATCACTCTCTGAGTGAAAAACTCCCAATATCTAACCTAAACCTCCTCTGTCTCAGTTTAGAACTATTCCCCTTGTCCTATCACTATCCACCCTTGTAAAGAGCAGTTCCCCCTGCTGTTTATACACTTCAAGTATTGGAAGGCCACTATGAGGTATCCCCAGAGCCTTCTCTTCTCCAAGCTAAACAATCCCAGTTCCCTCATGCCTTTCCACATATGAGAGGTGCTCCAGCCCTCTGATCATCCTAGTGGCCTTCTTCTACAAGTCTGTTGTGTGTTTTGGTTTTTGTTTTTTTGTTTTTTGTTTTTTTTTTAATTAAGAATGTACATTTTGAGAAATGTCACATCTGTTGGAAAAACATCACCGGAACGTTAATAAACATCACTGGCCATATCATCTGCTCCATGGAACAAGACAGATACTACCAAGCATGTCATCGCATGTGGATTTCAACTGTATTAAAAGTTTCTCCAGGTAAAGCATTTTGAATTGAAGCATTTTGCACACAACAGCATATTTGTGAAGTAGACAGAATTGTTATGATGTACCTTAAGTATAAGTTTATTTTAGCAGTATAAACATGGTACTGTAGTGTTTCAATAAAGATTTGTGGTTTTCATTACAAACAGTTTAGCCTTTTTTTTTTCTTTTCAAGAAGTGTTTATAGTTGACAACTGAAGTTGTTCTGGAGAGTCTTCAGTTATTATCAATGTGATTTTTATATTGGGTATGACATAAATAAGTTCTTCTGTACAAATATTGAGAGTCATTCTCAACTGTATGTGGAAATGTTGAGACTAATTTCTAGCTATAAACTTCATATATAAAGCACTATAAAGTGACATCAGGAAGAAGAAAGTGAGGTTTAAGTGAGAAGCTAAACTGAAATTAACAGTTGCGATCAGTATATCCTTACAAAAAGATGTTTATAGTCCTACTATTATATGAAGAATTGTGCAGAATAAAGTCACCCTCCTCTCGCTTGCTTACATTTTTTTTTGTGTGGGTTTCAGTGCTGCAGTGTTCCATGCTCATCCTCTGAAGTTTGTAGTAGCTTAACTCCCTTGCTTTGTTTTAATTTGTTTCCTCCTCTGACATCTGAAATTGTACAGCAGCTACTTAATTGCAAGATGAAAGAAAAAAAAACTTGTATTGAAAAGATGTGAGATTTAATTGTAGCACTGGCTTGTCTCATACAGAGACCTGTTTTATGCAGTTTCTTTTAATTTAAAAAAAAAAAAAAAAAAAAAAGTATTTGCATCTTATGAACAGAAGCCTGGGGAAAAGCTCAGACTTCAAATAATCTCTTTTTGTTAATGGGGCACTGTAGAGTACAGTAGAGCAGATATGTGGGAATCATCCTTGTGCTCTCTCCCCCAGCAGTAGACTTTTATCTTTGTCTATAGATTTGTTTTGATGCTAGTAGAGGGAGTCATGAAGAGACAGAGGTGCAGCTGGTTTCTATCACTGTGCTTCAGTTTGAGGCACTTGACTGAAGAAAGTTGATCTGCATTCTTTTGTAGTTCTGTGCTAGGCTATGGTGCTGAATTCACTATGATGAATGATTTAAGGTCCACGTGCTGGGGAGGGAGGAAAATAAAATTAAGGACTTTTCCTAGAACTGTATCCTCTTTTAAATGCTGGCATACAAGAGACATTTTTTCTAGCTTGTGTTTCTTGCCCCTTAAAAGACTAGATACAAACAAGTAAGTTGCTTCACCGAGCTGGCATTTCTAGAGGCGGAGAGACTAGAGTAGATGAAAGTATAACTGCAGACTGAGTCTCACAGACAAAAATAGCAAAATGGTGTTTGTAGTGTGAATGGGAGCGAGGAGAGCCAAATGTAATTCATTGTGATAAAAGTAGAATGCTTGTGGAATGTTGTATTTCAACAGTTGTCTTTGCTGTTTTATCCTGTGGACTCCAGAGAATATTTTTAAAGCTAACTTCTGGCATTTTTCTTGGAAAAATACAAGGTGTGTGGAGAGGAGAAGAGAAAAAATCTAACATGCTGGAATTGGACCGAGGATATTTGGCTTCAGGTCCTGTGGAATCTCCAACAGGTCTTGTCTTCCCGCTGGCTTATCTCCTACTGACTTCAACTGGGGCACTGCTGTTAGCTAGTAGAAGTTAATACTGCATGCCCCTAAAAATAACCTTCCATTTTGGTTTTGTTTCCTCCACATTTTCAAGCAGAGGTCAACATATCCCCTTCCTCATCTGCTTTCTTGAGTGGTTATGTTGTTGCTTCTCCAGAGCATGTAGGCTTCTAGGTGCTCAGACTCCTTAGCATACTAGGCATCTGGCTACAGTTGGCCTCTGGTTACAACTGTAATACAGTCATCAAACTTTTTTTGGTCTGCAGAGAGTTAAAAGCATAAATTAATAGTTGTATAAAAATTGCGACTTAAGAAATATAAAAATCACAGATTGGCTGAGGTTGAAAGGGATGTCTGGAGTCAGCTAGTCAGTCCCAGTGCAGGGTGCCCAGGTGGCTTCTGAACATCTCCAAGGAAGAGACTCCATGGTTTCTCTTGGCAGCCTATGCCAGTGCTCAGAAAAGTTTCCTGATGTTCAGACAGAACCTCCTATGTTAGCAGCCCAGCACAGGGCACTACTGAGAAGAGGAAGAGCCTGGCTCCATCCTCTCTCCATCTTTCCTTCAGGTATTTATACACATTGATAAAATCACCCTGAGTCTCCTATATGCAGTTCTTTAGGTGAGGCTGCATCAATACAAAGTATAGCAGCGAATGACCGCTTAACTGGCTGGCTGTGCTGTGTTGAATGCACACCAAAATGCAGTTTGCCCTCTTGGCTGACAGGGCACACTGCTGGCTCATATCAGTTAATTAAATTTTCTTAAAAGAAGAACATGAAGTTCTACAGGTAAGAAATGATTTTCAGTTTCAAAGTACTGGCTTTCATTTGTGTGACATTTTTGTGAGATCACCTTTTTCATGATTTGGAGAATTCCATGCAACTCACAAATGGTGTGTGCTTCCTAAGTGCAGCACTCCAAACTATACAGGTTTAAGCAACCCTACAGTTTTGCTCATATGCAATAACCTCTGGCTACATCCATTTCTACCTTCCTCCCACTGTCTGATCTCATCTGAAAAGATGTGAGATGAGCAAGCTTCTCTATTTCTATTTTCAAGTGAAGAAGCAATATTTTTTTTTTCCTTTTCTCAAAAATATTTTTAAATTCTCCAGTTTACAGCCTCCTGTTTCCATGTTAACATCTTTCCCTAGCTTAAATAGGTCAACAAGGACTGTAAAGATACTGAGGGGAAGGAAATAGGAAAAAAACCCTGCATGTATGCTTCAAAATATATTGCAAACAAAGCAGAAGAAAGTAGTGAAAAATTCTCAATGAAATGGGTATATCCTTAACTCTAAACTGGAGAGGGATGGATTTGAAGGGTGGACAAGGAGTTGGCTGAATGACTGCAGACAGGATTGTGGTTAGCAGCTCTGTGTCCAGGTTGAGATCTGTGACAAGTCGTGCGCCCCAGGGGGCTGTCTTGGAGCTTGAAGGGGTTTGAGGCTTGAGGAATTCAGTGCACCTTCAGCAAATTTGCAGACAATACCAAGCTGAGTGCTGCAGTTGATATGACAGGAGGAAATAAAGAGGCTGAATTAAAAGAGGAACTTAGATGAGATGTTAGGATGAAGTGCTTTACTCAGAGTGGTGAGACATTGGTACAGGTTGCACAGAGAAGTTGCGGGGGCCCTATCCCTGGAGATCTTCAACACCGGGTTGGATGGAGCCCTGGGCAGCTGGACGTAGCAAACCTGCCCATGGAAGTAGTTGGGGCTAGGTAGGCTTTAAGGTCCTTTTCCAAGCCATTCTATGGTATTCAATCTTGAATTTGGGGAGAAAAAAATGTAGACATCTTAGAAACTTTATTTCCTGCTTAGGTGGTAACCTTGTTGATGCCTAAATGTTACAGCTTTTAGGGAAAACAACCATTGCTGGGAGTGGGGGGCACAGAGATCCCATAGTGTCAGCATTCATAGCCTACTGATGACCACAAGAGAATAAGTGCTTGGGGTTCTTCTCCTGGGGATTTTGATGTTCTGTTCAGTAATTCCTGTGTTACAGGAATTGTGTGAGGAAGAACTTGTGATATGTAGCTGCTGACCTGCTGACTCCAGATAAGTATGCTTAGCAAGCATTTTTAGTTATATTATTACCCTTCAGCATTAAACACTCTCAAGGCATTGCAAAGGCATCTGATCCTCCATCACAAGGTCCCACTTCCTTCTACAAGTGGTCTGTCTGCCCAGGATGTGGGGACTATCTATACAGAAGGTAAACATCAAAATGTGTAGTAGGGAGAATGTGAAATGCCAAGACTGTATGATCTCTGTATGAATCCAGAACCAATTAGCTTGTCTAATTGATGGGAACCTTGCTACCTTCCTCTGCTGTTCCTGAAGATTTGTTGCTTTAGAGCTTTTTATGACACTTTGTTCCTCACCCCCTCAAGAAGAGGTGTTCTATAGCAACTGCTACCATCGCCTGCTGCAGCTTTCTATCAAGCCATGTGCAACAACTTCTCATAACTAAAAAAAAAGAAACAACAAACCCCGAGAAGTCCAAGTGTCAAAACCTGTTATGTTAAAGACAAGACATATGTCAGTGGTACACTGCACACCAATGTTACTATTCCAATAAATGCTATTCCTCCCACCATAGGACTGCCAAATGACTCATTATGAATAACAACTTGACATTGCTGTACCCAAGCAAGCAAAAAGGGAAACATCTTAATATCTTGTAGTACTTGTTTGTCATCGTTTACGAGTGTGGTAAATGGGTGTGTTATGCTAATAACAGAGAGCAGTTACCCTGCAGCATTGTAAGTGCTTTTCTACTGCAGTTCTTCCTGTGGTGGGTTGTCAGTCCTGTGGAGTAAACCCTGCCAACACATATGCGTGTCAGTAGCACTATTTGGTGCTTCCCACCCAGTCCACTGGGTATTCTGCGCATCACAGGAAATGTCTGAAAATGCTGCATGTTCACTGACAACCACTTGTGGTTTGGTTTAGAGGCTGAGCAAATGGCTTCTAAATATATGTTCCTTTCTTCAATGAAAGAGGGTTAAGCTTCTGTTCTGTCATTTTCAGAGGCTTCCCCACCCTTTCGCTCTAATTTCAGTTGTTCTGACCTCTCCGTTGTTATTTAGGTGTGGTGTGTGTGCAGTTTTATATTGTTTAGATAATGCACTGAATGTTCATTTACTTAATGCCTGCTGTTTGCCTGTGTATATTTCTAACTAAGAATGTACAAAGCTGTTGGAGGTAGTAAAATCAGAGCCGTGCAAGCTGCCATGTGGGGAAATACAGAAGGGGAACTTAATGCAAGTGATTTTTAAAAATAACAATGCACTGCCCACCGCCAGCAAGCTCTCTGAATGCAAGGGGCTGTTTTCATTTTGGACTTAAAACATCTAGTTGTACAAAGTCTTAGGGAATGTTTTTGTTACGAATTAATCACTGCCAGTAAGGACTGTTTAAGTACCTAAATGTCTGAGCCAGTTTTCCCAATGAAAATTTGTAAGATAAGATTTTCTATTCTTTATCATCTACCTCTTCTACATGCATATTTGTGGAGTTCAACTTCTTTGGAATGTGTGCGGCTTCTCTCACTATTCCAAAGATTAAGAGATAACCAACTCCTAGTTTACTGTGAGGCACAAGCAGTTGCATAGGTGTAGGTGCTATTTTGTGCTGTTGATATGAACTTCAAGTAAGTCAAAACCATGCTAGGGAGTAAATCAGATTTCCCAAGTTGGGTGACTACCTTGTCCACAAACATAGGAGGTATACAGTGTCCAGTTCCCCTCTCAGTGACAATTTAAATAGATCATAGGGGCACACTTTGGGGTAATTAAGGTCCCACCTCAGGTGTTCGGTGTCTCAAGGCCAGAACTCACTGTATTAACTAACTATAAAAATGCATGTGTCTTACCATTAAATAATTCTCACAAATTCCCATTATCCTTTTCCACTGTGAGTGAGAGGCGTCAATTCCTCATGACCTGAAAGCAATTCAGGTACTGAGCTATTCCAGGTGGAGCTGCATTAGCACCATCTTGAATCCAAGCTGTGGACAGAAGCCAGTCCTCAGAGGCCACCCTTGCAGATGTGGCCAGGAGACATCAGTGGTGTGTGCCAGCCTGCACTGAGAGATGGCATCACTGGACAGCCCTTGTCCTCTGCTTCTCACTGAGTCCCAGAGCACGCTCTGTTTTCACTTCAGGATGATGTGCCCTGAGGCTCTTGGCCTTAGGACTGTTATATATGGCTGAGACTTCTATCAGAAGCGTCCGGTTTTTCTGTTCGTTATGCAGATGAGAGCAGCAGTTTGCAGCGGCAGAAGGCAGCAACACAACCTCTCACAAAGAACATTTTTGTGCCTTGAGAAATACAGAAAAGCTCCACACACTTACTGTTTGTTTACATTGTATTATTGCTCAAATACGACTTTTCATTCTTCCCTCCCTGGGGCCATTTCCACGCGATGAGAACTTTCTCTTGCTGCAGGTGAGCGCAAGACACCCGTAGCTCTGGCCTCTGGCTTCCAGGAGAGCCCGCTCCACTCCGCGCCTGCCTGCTCACTGCCTCTGCTGTTCTTTTTCTTTCTTAGCTGATCTTTCCACAATAACTAGGACGTATATTGTCGACTTCTCGCTTGGACTGGTTGTAGAAGAACCGCCTAATTCAAACAACGGTTTTGGCTTGCTGGGTTTTGTTTTGCTTTCCAACTTTCGGTTTGAACTCCCCATGCGCCCAAACAAACAACTGCAGAGCCCTGGGGCAGTTTCCTTCACGTACAGCTGGTGGGAAGCTGCCATGCTGCTGTTGTCCGTGGGTCGGTGTGGATTTCTGCACCCACCTGCACGTCTGGGGAACATTCATGTTTGTGTCACGAATCTAACAGCGCTGGGTGCTTCGCAGAGCTTTAAGTCCCCAAATAGGATTCTGTGAGAAATTCGGCTTTTTTTTTCTCTCACAATTGCCGACGCTCAGCTCACCTGTGCCCCCACACCCACCCAGTCCCTTCCAGAGCTGTCAGCCCGGGGCCCGGCCCTGCCGTCCGCTCCGCACCGCCGCGTTGCATAACGCCTCCCGCCGGGCCGGGCGGCGACGCAGCGGGGAGGGCCGAGGGCGGGCACTCCACGCAGCCCTGAGTGGCGGGGCCGGTGCCGGGCGGCCCGCCGAGGGTGAGCGAGCGAAGGAGAGCGAAGCGGGAGCAGCGGAGAGAGAAGCGCCGCGGCCCCGGAGGGACGTTCGGCGGCGGGTGCCGCGGCGGTGAGTGGGGCGCGGGCCTGCCTGCTCGGGCTGCGGGGAGTAACGGTGAGGCTGCGCTTTGCGGGAGAGCCCCCGCGTCCCGTCCCGTCCCGTCCTGTCCCGTCCCGGCGGGGGTGGACGAGGCTCTCTGACAGCGCAGAGCGGCAAGGACAACCCTGCGCCCGGGCGGCTGCGGCAACCTGCCGTGCGGCTCTAACGGTGTCCCCGCGGCGCAGCTTCTGGCTGACGGTGCGGCTGCGGGCCCTGCAGCGCTTCTCCCCAGTGGAGTAAGCGGGCGGGTAAAGCCTCTTATTTAATGCCTTTCGGTTAAACAAGAAAATAACCGCATCTCTCCACGAGGAGCAGCTCGGTAAGAGCGCGAGCAGCGGCTTGCAACTTTTCTCACCCAGGTGTCGGGCTGTCGCTGCCAACCGGCTGCTCGCCGTGGCTGTCACGTTCCTGCGGCGCTCTGTGCCCACGCTTTCTGTTCCCGTTCTTATCCCCTTCCCCCGGCTTCTAACACAACACTGTCCCGAGTAGTGAGGAGGGTCCCGGTTTGCCCTCGCCTTTACACCCCCACTCGATGTGCAGTAAGGTTTTGGCTTCTCCCATGTCCTTTTCTGCCGCTGTGTTTATTTCCATGTGCTTATCGGTTTGACTCGTGTGAACTTAAGTCTTAGTTCTGGGAAACTTTATTCCTAGAAATAGCTTTCCTCAAATACATTTATGGAGTGAAACCTGCAGGAGTCAGTGATTAATTGTAAAAATGAGGGTTGCAAGATTATGCTTCCACAGTTTGTTAAAGCAGTGCATTGCTTCCCTTCTCTGTTGTCTTGCTCTCTTCTATCACTAATGAAAAATATTATCACTGTGTTGATCAGACCAGCTCCTTACTACTACTGCTTTTGGATGCCACTTTTAAGCCCTCTGTGGGCCATCTGAAAGCCTCTGTACGCAGTGGCAATTTTTTGAAGAAGGAATTTGAAAAACGCAGCCAAACTTTACAAGCTGATTGGTTGCCTTTCAAATGTTCTGCTTCGTTTTCTAAAAGTGTCTCAAATCTGTGGGCAGTTGAAATGCGTGTTGGCTTGGCATGGCCTCTGTGGTTGCCAAGTGTGTAAAGAAAGTAAGGAAATGTAACCCGCTGCAGTCCCCTGGCAACTTTTATTTCAAGAAGCAAACTCGTAGTGAGTCATGGGAGCATTGTTCCCTCCAAACTAACTGCCAGGAAGTGGAACTTGACACAGCTGATGGGCTCTCTATAAAACAGTTCTTCCCTACACGCAGTGTTGTTTCCATGTTCTTTGTGAATCAACAGATCCCGAGCCCTCGAACTCCCAAAGAAGATAGAATTTAGCCTCTCAGGGTGCGGTGCTGCATGTTTGTCCCTTCCTGTGTTGGTTTCGATTCTTTTCTTCTGTTATGTACTTCAGTTTCTTCTCTTCCTCCCATCCTGGTCACAAGTTTTCCACATCTGTGAACCATTCCCAATGCATGTGTCCTCTCTGACTTTCATACACTGGCCTAACTGACAAGAACGTCTTGCCTTTCCTTTTGGGTAAGCCATTTTTGTTCCCTCCAGTTCTTTGTGGCTCTCACATCATCCTGAAAAACATCTCTGAATGCTTGGGCTCAGGATGCAGCTGTACTTCAATACACACCTGTGTGATATAGGTAGATGCTCCAAGCCTAGCACCTGCATCACAGCTTCAAGAAGGATAGCTATCTTTCATCTTTTACTACAGCTTCTATTGCAAATAAGGTGCTTGTTGTCACTTAATCATAGAATCACAGAATGGCCTGAGTTGGGCCTCAAAACCCACCTAGTTCTGACTCCCTGCCATAGTTGAAGTTGCCCCCACCAGATAAGAACCCAGAGCCCCATCCAACCTGGCCCTGAATGCCTCCAGGGGTGGGGCATTCACAGCTTCTCTGGGCAGCTGTGTCAGTGCCTAATTATATAGTAATATTTGTATACACACGTGTTATAAGTAGATGATATCCTTCTATGAAAATTGATGACTCAGCAGCATGCTGACTTACAACTGAATAACTCATAGAGTTGTGAACTCTGGCCATTCATACTATCTGAAATCGCCACACCTCAATGTCAAAATAAGGTAGTAAACTTGTTTGACAGAGAAGGGCATTTTCATTGACACTTTATATAAGGTTAATAAGCAATCTTCAATGTCTCTATCTGTCTGAACAGAAAGCTTAGACTGTTCTGATCTCTAATACAGTGCTTGTATTCTGAGGAAGATTAGGGTTATTTTTAATATGATCTGGGCCTGTTAGTTTCCTTTTGGCAGGACTGACTTGTCATGTGTGTGAATACAAGGATGTTATTTATGTTATGCCTACCAGAAGACTTGGGCCTGACAGGAAGCTCTTCATAGCAAGGGATTTCATGGGAATTCATGTTTTGGCTGTAGTATGATGAGGATTAAGTTGCCACCTCAGCCTTGAAATCTCATGGAACAAATGCATGAAGTAATGTACTAGTGGACAGTGAGGGAAATCACAAGAAGAAATTACATCCATGATGTTGTAGTTTGCTTGGAAATCAGATACCAAGTTTCAGGTTGCTTGTTTTATTCTTAATTGGTGCTTGTTTATTTGTATTAAAAAGATAGAATAGCCATTTTTACTGATGTGCTATGCTGAAAGCCTTCTCGTAACTATGGCAGTAATACTTGGGAGCGCAGGATGAGTGAGAGGCCCATGTGGAATGGCATGTGCCAGGAGATTTCTTGTTATACTTAGCACTAGTATCTGTTGTTCAGATACAGTGGCTGTCACCAGTGAATCCTAGACTCACGTATGCTTCTACCTCTGCAGTTAATAGTCATTAAAAAGAACCACTGGCTTTAGTAGAAGAGCAGTCAGACCCACAAATCTTTGGGCTCCTTTCAGGCAGGTGAGTAGCGTTGTATCTGTGGGATAGCTTTGCAAACTGAAGCATGACAAGAAGACAGGCTGAGGGAGCTGTTCAGCCTGGATAAGAGAAAGCTGCAGGGTGACCTCATTGCAGCCTTCCAGTACCTAAAGGGAGCCTACAAACAGGAGAGGAGCCAACTCTTCGTAAGGGTAGATAATAGCAGGACAAGGGGAAATGGTTTGAAGTGGAAGGGTGGAAGATTTAGGTTGGATGTCAGGGGGAAGTTCCTTACCAAAAGAGTGGTGAGGTGCTGGAAGAGGCTGCCCAGAGAAGTTGTGGATGTCCTGTCTCTGGTGGTGTTCAAAGCTTGGTTGGATGGGGCCCTGGGCAGCCTGGTCTAGTACTAGATATGGTGGTTGGTGGCCCTGCCTGTTGCGGGGGGTTTGGAACTTGATGATCCTTGAGGTCCCTTCCAACACAAGCCATTCTATGATTCTGTGACGCTGTGTTGCCTGCCCAGTCTGCTGGCTTCCTCTTCCAGACACATTGCCCCTGCTACTGGGGAGTGACAGCAGTTTGCAATCCCCTTCAGTGTTGCGCCTTGTGGGGCTAAATAACAGGAGGTTGTTTTTGATTGAGTGAGAGAAGTTCTTCAAAACTCCTTGAAAATATTCGATTTTCAAGATCAAGTGTACCTGTAAATATTGTTTTGATCCAGGCTAGCATACACAGTTTGAGATCTGGATTCTCCTGGAAGTGTTTGCATAGTTCTGCTTAGTGAAACGTGCAGACATGAAGGCCCTAGTTAATGACTCCCAAACAATGTATGAATGGGCTATTGCTGAGTATTGGCCATCCTCCTTCTCTTAATGTAGTAGAGTGATTTAGAGGAGCCATGTTCTGTGCTGCAGGTTTGCTCTGTGGTGTTGGTGAGCATGTACAGCTGAGGTTTGGAGTGGGACCAGAGGAACTGAGTGCAGAAAATGTTGTTGGCTCTGGCACCATCTATCAGAGGCTGCTTCTGAAAGGCAGACTATGAGAACATCGTATCTCCATCTGTAAAAGGAGATGCTAACATCTCACTTTATGGATGATGATAGTTGATGCTATGTCAAGGTGTCATGCTGTGATACAGTAAGCAACCATACTGTGTCTAGGTACTTGGACTTATTTACAAACCAAGATTAGAGCAAGATTCTTGCACTGATTTATCTCACCTGTTCATTCAATTGGACTGATGCAACAGTGATGAATAAGACTATGAAAAAAATGTTAGGGTTACTTTAGCTGTCTCCTCTTCACCTTAAGCAGCAGTGTGATATGATTTCAAGTATTTCATCCTTGTCTTTTGTTTTCTAATCGTTATAATTAGGCAATCCTAAAAATATATATTGCCTCTGATTAAGGAATAATTTAAGAGATGGATCTGATCATTACCCAGATGCTGAACTCCATTTTCAGTGCAGCCTGCAGAAGTTCAGGGACACTGAAGATGGAAGGTGAACAGATGCTGATGTACCCACCATGTTTTCAAGTTATTCAGATGGAGAGGTGGTGTTGTGTGAGGAGATCATGTCAGTAATGAGGAGAAACCAATCTTTGAAGCTGCTGGTTCTTCCCCAAACTATATATTTCCTGTAACTTAAATGGCTGATTTTTCTTCGAGTTCGTTTCCTTGCACGAGCACTGCTGTGGCCCTATGGGAATGCAATAGCTGTTATGTGAATGGTAGATGACAGTGTTTGACAAATACAGGTGATGTTCCATATTTAAGTCAGTAGAAACGCTCTATAGCCACAGTGGTGGAAATGAGCAATCTAGGCACATGCTCTTTGTAATGTACATATCTAATA